GGTAGAAATTTTAAATCCTCTGTTGAGGTCGTCCTGAGCAAACTATAATGCATGCACAAGCGAATGTCTCAATAGAATGGAAACATTACACTAACACCTTAGATTAGCCAGGCTGAGATGATTCTGGTTTAAATGTAAAACTGTATTACCACTAATGATGGTATGCTATCAAAGGGCAGAGTCTCACCCATCACAAAACCTAGATGCTCAGAAAGGTTATACATACTTTTCACTACCCAACTGCACATTTGAGTACTTCAGAAGTATAATTAAGTTCAGGTCTGTCTTCCCCTGACTGAAGGACAATTTTTTGCATTCATAGCAAGGGAACAGAAATCCCAGTCTAGCTTTTCCTTTGTCATTTCTGAATTTCGTCAGCTCTTACCTTCTAATTGCTCTTCTTGTATCAAGGAAAGCGAATTTATCCTAGAACCTCCCAGGGCTTGCAGAACTCAGTGTCCCACACCTGTTCTTTAGCTGCTCTGTTCAGAGACTTCTTTAAAAAGAGCCAGGCCCTTGGGCAGGGTTAGGCTTCTTCCCAAATGCCAAAACCTCCTGGAAACCCCTCACTGACTCACTACCCCACTGAGCCACAGATTCAGAAAGGCCAAATGTATGAGTCAGCACTGGGGAGAGGGGCAGTCATTGATTCCGCAAAAGAAATGGGGTACTTCCATGATAATACACAGAGACTCAGGCAAAATTCCACCTTCTGATTCACCAAAATCTCTTTATGAAGCTTTACAGTAAGGGTTTCTATCCAGGCATGAAGCACGTTCACCTCAGTTTTATTTCTAGAGTTCAACTGCCAATATTAACCCAGTACTTACAACAGAACATCTTGAAAGTTCATGAATCTATTTGCCACCAGGTAGGCACCAAATCGGAAGCAGCCAGCATAGGAAAAATACATCATTGCCTGGGTGATGGAAAATGAGATCCCGAAGATGTGCGCTTTCCTCAAAGAGTTTCTGAAAAGGAGACGTTAATGAAACTTGCCTGACTTTCATTGCTCAACCCTTAAAACGTAACATTTGCTAGATCAGCAGTGGGGCGTGGCAGACAAAAATGGGTTCAGTTTCCAAAAAAGTTAACTTTGGTCCTCACTTTCCTACTTGTGAAAATTTAGGAAACTTCCTAATAGAGGATTAACTATACCTCAAAGTGTTGAGGTAAAGTTAAAATAAGCCAAGGAAAACATGAAGAGCCTGCTAGGGGTTCATAAATGAAAGTTCCTTCCCTTTCCCCCCACTTTGCACATACAAAATATATGCACTCTAGTGTCAACGTTCATTCAACACACATTTACCTAACACCTACAAGCTGCAGGGACCATGCTTGGTGACACAGAGCAATCACTCATATTCTTGCCTTGGGGACCCACCAGTCAAGTTGCCTGTAATTATGCAGTGAAGGTACCCTATAAATAACATGTTAGGGAAAGAAAGGAGGACACACTGAACTCTCTGGGGGAGTGAGAGAAGGCATCACAAAGGCGTCAATGTTGGTGGATTTTCTGAGCCACCTGACCTGGGTGATGCGGAGGTAAGAGCAGGCTGGTGAGTGGGCAGCCCTGTGGGCCTCCTGCCTCTGCCTCAACCACGTCAACTCCATTTCCATCTGTTTCATATATTGGGATTTCAAATGAAAAGATCTTCAGAAAAAAAGACTCCTATTTTAAAAAAATGTTTGAAAACCCATCATCCAAGTCCAGCTCTCTCCTTTTACTATATAAGAAACTGAGACTCAGAGAGGTTGGGCTTACTTTTTAGAACTGTCACTGGATAAGTGCATTAAAGGAAATACGGAAGTTCTCCACTAGAGAAGCTTCAAGAAAGAAAGGAAAGGCATACTCAAGGAGCACCACCTCCTCTACCCAGGCCCCACAGATGCATCACATTTCAGGTTCCATAGAGAACTCAGCCCCACTGAGAGCAAATAATCGGGTCATTACCCAAACTTGGCATCAGAGAGTCATTGTCTGTCTATCCTCTCCCCCTCTGTTTCCCATCAGTTGCCTGCTGTTACAGGATCTACCTCGGAGAGGTCAAGGTCTTGTGATTTCTCTCCTGGATAATTACAAGGGCTTCCCAGTTGGTCCCCTTCTAGTAGCTTCTCCACTTGTTCCCTACCTTCTGGCCAAAGTAACCTTTCTGAAAACAAATCTGATGATTGATAAGCCTCCCCACACTCCCCTCCCACTCTTCAGTGGTTATTACCTGTATGGTACTTGCAAACTCTGTGCATACATGTATTCAAACTTCTGCTCCCGGGTCAAAGAAACAACAGTTCGGAAGTTTTCGATTGCTTCAGTAGCAATCTGTAACAAAGAGCCCCCAGGCACAAAGGTGAATGAATAGTGGTGATCAGTGTGAATTCCATAAAAGAGATTAATAAAATTAATTTTATTATTACGTATCATTTATTATGACCTATGAGCTTCTTCACTGAAACTAATTTATCAAATCAAATTTTAGATCTGGAAAGAAGATTGGCAAATTCAGTCTCCTCTTTATAGAGAGAGAAGCTAAGGCTTAAACAGATGGGGACACTTAGCTAAAGCCACATTGCTTTCTTTATAGGGGCAAAATTCACCTGAGAACTCAGTATTTTACATTTATCACAGTACTCTTTCTTCTATGACAGTCACATTTTAGGTTTATGATTATTTTACATATATTTTAAATGTGATGCTTATATTTTTCTCTTTATAATTATCATTCATGACAACTGAGGAATATTTGGAAAATACTGAAAAGATAAAAAAGGCGAATAAAAAGCTCCATATATGTGTATCTTATATATTAGCTTATATATATATTTTTTTCTAAGCATATATGTACTTAACAAAATTGGGACCAAATTCTCTTTTTGGCTTTTACATCATTATTTTTTACCTTAATAAATATCAAGAGCATTTTCCAAGGTCATTAAATATACATTAATAATGAGATGTTTAATGGGACACACAATATCCCAGCCAGTTAAGCATTCCTTTACAGTTGAACAAGGTTTTCCATTCTCTTCCTATTAAAAATAATGCTGTGATAAACATCCTTACACATAAACCTTTGTCCAAAGTAAATTATTTTCTTGAGAAGTTCTTAAAGTGAAATTACGAGGTCAAAGGGGATAAACGAATTCTTAAGAAACGTGGCACATATCATCCATTTGTTTTCCAGAAAGTTTCTCTCTCATTCAGTTATTGTTTTAATTGAATGCAACTTCCAACAAGTCTTTGTAATTAGGACAAATACATCCTCTTGGAGACTGGGTAAAGGGCTGTGGAAAACATGAAAACTTCCAGTGCACAAAATGAAGATTTCAGCTTGCATCAGCCATGGGACTTTGAAATAGCTCTCTGTGTCTTGGTCTCCTCATATGTAAAATGAGGGGGATGGACAAGAGGGTCTTGAAGTCCCTTTTAACTCTGTAATTCTAAGAGAAATAACTTTTAAAACTGTAAGTCTAAATTATAAATCAGTGAGTAAGGGAAATCACTCTTCTATGAAGATGTTCTTCCTTTCTCTGGTCTGTACACTGGTCAGAATGGATTTTTTTTTCTTTTTCTTTTTTTTTAGAGCTGGGAGAGGGGCAGAGGGAGAGGGAGAGAGTCTTAAGCAGGCTCCACGCCCAGCGCGGAGCCTATCATGGGGCTTGATCTCACGGCCCTGAGATCAAGATCTGAGCCGAAATCAAGAGTCAGATGTTTTAACAGACTGAGCCACCCAAGTGCCCCATGTTTAGAAGTGATTCTAATAAGGACACATTCATTTACAGTTGAATGATTTACAGCTTAAAAATCATAAACATGAAACCTCACTTATTTCTTACTAAATCCTATACAAACTACCTAACTTCAAAGAGAAAAGCAAATATTTGATACAACACAAGTCAGTTTTAAAGAGTAATGCAAAGAGCTATTAGAAGAAAAACAATAATACCATGTACTTAAAAACAAAAACTTATTTAAAAAATAAAGTTAAAAATATCATACTCTGACCCGACTAGGCCAAGAATATTGACCTATGTTTACCATAAACTACTGACAAAGATAGGAAAATGTCCAGATTCAATTCATGTTAAAATACTTTATAAAAATCTGTACACACTATGAAAATAATATACATTCATTTTAGAAAATCCTATAAGTACAGAACAAAAAGAGGAACAGTACAGAACAGTACAGAATAAAAAGAGGAACAAATTCGCCTCCAGTCAAACCCGCACACAATCCTTGTACAGACCCATGTTAGAAATATGTTCAGTGATAATGCTCCAAACAAACGGAAATGTTCTTTGCATTAGTAAGGAAATTCAACAAATTATAACAAAGTCTGCTGAAAAACAGATTTTACTGTAAATTTCAATGTGGTTTCTAAGAAATATTTTCTGTGGCACCATTTTCTAAGGCAAGTGTGTTTTGGTTGTGATTTGGTCTGTAAATGCGGTCACTTAGTAGAGGGTGTAAACAGCCCAATACAAGTGAGTTTATGAGTCACAGACCTCGCATAGTGAGTAAAACAATATAGTAATCACTTCACAACCATCTTTATCTTGCCTCATGATGAAGCAATTAGGAAAAGGCTTAATTAGTACTCTGCATCCTCACAGCTTCATTTTCTCCAAGAGTTTTAAATAGAAACCCAGTAAGGAGAACTTTTTTTTTTTTAAAGATTTATTTATTTATTTTAGAGAGAGACAGAGCCAGGGGAGGGGCACAGGGAGAGGGAGAATCTCAAGCAGACTCCCCAGCACAGAGCCTGACTTGGGGCTCCAACTTCACGACCCACGAGATCACAACTTATGAGATCATCACCTGAGCCGAAACCAAGACTCGTACGCTCAACAGACTGAGCCATCCAGGTGCTCCAAGGAAAGAGAACTTCTAATATGAGAAGAGTAAATAGCATTGAGTTTTTTTCAGTAGCCATCATAAGCTAAATAATTTTGAAGAAAAATTATATATATATATATATATATATTTTTTTTTTTTCTAGGAAGAAAAAAAACCCTCCTCGCACTTCTCTCCCTATCCTCAAATTAACCGAAGTTTGATTATGGCTTTTATGTCTGAAAAGGAAAAAGCATCTATTTTATTAAGATGTTCACTAGTCAATAATAATGTGACAGAAATCTACAGAGCACAGGCAGGGGAGAGGTTACGAGGAGGCTGCCACCACACAATCTTGCTCTGGAATCCTGGGCCTGCTCTGTCCCTGTAAGGGCAAACCAACAGACACAGTCCTTTCCCTATGGAGCTTTTGTCTTAGTAGGGAAGACAGTCCACTAATCAATAAACAAAGAAATAGAGAAACATCAAGTGCTGAGAAGTGTCATGAATTAATTCAAGGGTCAGGAAAGGCCTCTCCAAAGAGGTCATAATGCTGAGATCTGAATAATATAAAGGAACCAGCCATGGGAAGATCAGAGGGAGCCAGCTTGGAATGTTCCAGGAACTGAAAGGTGGCCCATGAGGCCAGAGCGGAGCGGGCATGGGAGAGAGTCGTGAAAGATGCTTTCATAGAAGTTGTCAGAGGGGGCTGGGTCAGGCAGAGTCTTATAAACCAGGGTAAAATGTTGATCTTCTTCCAAGTGTGATCAGTCAGAAGCCACTGGAGGGTTTTAAGTTGGTAACCAGTTAGCGTGATCTTATTTGTGTTTGTAAGAGATCAGTGTGACTTCTGTGAGAAGAATGTAGAAAGTGGGTGGACAAGAAAGGAAGGAGTGGAAGCAAGGAGATCAGTTAGAACTATTGCTGTGTGATTTGGGCAAGTTACCTGACTTCTCTGAACTGTGGGTTTTATCATCTAATAAGAAGAATTCAAAGGAGTGATTAAGAGTATCAAATGAGAAAATGCATGCAGAGCTCCTCACATGATGCCTGGCATATAATAAATACTTAGTGGTAATCTGGGAATGGGGAGTTTTGGGAGTTGATTTTCAAAACTACATGGACCGGATGGTCCTGCAACCACCACTTTCCCTACCTGCTTTTGCCAGTCTCATGAAACACCACTGAGAGCATTTATCTCACCTCCGACCTTTGCTCAGTGAACCTGCCATATTCGCACATATCCATGTCCATCTGCACCACTTCCTTGCCACCCTGGGACAGAACTCCAAGAGTCTTAAATCTGATGGGCCACCTCAGAAGTGCTAACCTGTGATGTCTAATGAATTATCTTATAACTGAGTATCTTGATCACCTTCTTCCTCTAAACAACCTGAGGCTCCTCTCTGGGACATTCTGAACCCCTCAGGAAATGAGGAAACTACTAAATATTAATACGTTTTCTTTTTATACATTTTGTCCTAGATTTTTCCATCTTCTCCTCACATGAAAAGTCAACACCACAGGTAGAAAAAACAAGACAGTAGGGTATGAAATGAAGTGATTGGTCACAGAACATGTTCCCTGACAGGGGCCGATGTGACAGGGGCCAACCCACAACCTGATGCCTGCTGAAGCTCGAGACTGGGCCTCTAATAGCCTGAAGGGAAGCCTCACATGAGGTCTTTCTCCCATAGACACTAGTTAGGAAGCACTAAAACTGGTCCAAAGGAATTCAGGAAGGAATTCTAAGGAAACAGGATAAAAAGTCTGAGGAGATGTCTGGGAGGTAGAAGACAAAGTGTCAGTGGTGATGATCAGCCTCCATGAAGAAGTACCCTCTTCATCATTCTTTATTCTCTGGTGCAGTGCCTGGTCCCAAAACAAAGTACTTCAGACACATGGCCTAGAGAGCCAGAGCCACTGGATCTTTCTGGGTCCCTGCCCCAACTCTTAGGAACCTTGGAGGGTCCACTAATAGATGTATCCCTACCCAGTTTTGGGGGTCGGTCATGCTCTGACCACTTGTATTTCCGCAATGATACAAACCATGTGCTATCGGATTTGTTTGGCCATCAGCAGACCTCCCTGTTTCTTCACAGAGGCACAACTTTGGATCCTGGTTCTGAGGCTTATCAGCTCTAAGGCACTGCGGCCATGACCCACCTGTGCCTCAGCTTTGGCTGAAAAAGGAACTAATAATAGAGCCTACCTCTTAGGGTCACAAAGAGGAGTAAAACATTGTGGAGGAAACAAGGTAAATGCCATACAAGTATTTGTTTAAAAACAACAACAAATAAACAAGTATGTAGGAAGAGAAGGAGGAGGAGGAGAAGAAGAAAAAGTAGTAGTAGCAGCACTATCCATTATAGGGTAAAGATAAACAGAAATAAGATGCCAGCAGGGGGTATGATAAAAAGGAAAGAATGCTAATAATTTAAGCCTGATAGAATTAATACCTTTAGGACTTTTCCACATTTTTTAAAAAGATTTTATTTATTTATTTGCTAGAAAGAGACACAACGAGAGAGGGAACACAAGCAGGGGGAGTGGGAGAGGGAGAAGCAGGCTTCCCGCTGAGCAGGGAGCCAGATGTGGGGCTCGATCCCAGGGTCCTGGGATCATGACCTGAGCCGAAGGCAGACGCTTAACAACTGAGCCTCCCAGGCACCTGGACTTTTCCATATTTTAATTCCCCTTCAACATATGTAATTAAATGGGGCTGCTTTCCTCAATAAAAGAATGGATTTCAGCTTGCTTGAGGGGAAGAAAGAGAGAGGGAGGGTGTGGGAAAGAGGGCGTAAAGGAAGAGCATGAAGACGATGGTTTGAAATGAGAAAAGCCTAATAAAATTAGTTGTCAGGCTGTGAGCCTCAGAATTTGTCTGGCTCCTTTTCTTCAGTTTCCAATCTTCTTCCAGTGCAATGAGACTGCTTTAAGGAATGGTTATAAAAACATTCTCCAAGCATAGTAAGTAGTAACAGAACAACACTGATTAGAATATTTTACTCTATTAGATCAGCAGTTGTATTTAGGTTGACTCACCTTCCCAGCACCTTCCAGTTCTTTCTTATCTTTCAGTGCTTGTCCAGACAACATTTTCATTTCAACAACTCCAGCTATTGCAATGATGGGTACAATTGCTAAGAGCAAAAGTGTTAATTGCCAGCCATAGATTAAGGATATAATAATACCTGTCCCAAGATTTGCTATATTCTGGGTAATTACAGCCAGCCTGGAACCTATAGCCTACAAAAAAAGACACAAAACAAATTAGAGAAACAATTTCATATTCTCTTTAAAACCCATGCCTGTATTTTCTTTAGGATTATGACAATTCAGCTTCATGAAATTCTATTAATTATCTTCTCAGTTACAAAATAAAAACAAAAGGTTTGCTTATAAGTTTATTTGGTTTCTAAAATGAAGATTTCCATGACTTCAGAGCAAATACTGAAAGAAGAAGATCAATAATTCAGAGTTAAATTACATATTTCTATCTCTTCTAATTTGTTTTTTCTTTTTTCTTTTTATTTATTTATTTTAATTTTTCAAATTTTTTAAATTTTTAAATTTTTTTATTAAAGATTTTATTTATTTGACAGAGAGAGAGAGAGCACAAGTAGGCAGAAAAGCAGGGAGAGGGAGAGGAAGAAGCAGGCTCTCCATCGAGCAGGGAGCCTGATGTGGGGCTCGATCCCAGGACCCTGGGATCGTGACCTGAGCCGAAGGCAGCTGCTTAACCGACTGAGCCACCCAGGCGCCCCTAATTTGTTTTTTCTAAGGAGGCTCCATGCCAATGTGGGGCTTGAACTCACGACCCTGAGATCAAGACCTGAGCTGATATCAAGAGGCGGACATTTAGCCAAATGAGCCACCCAGGCATCCCTCTCTTCTAATTTTTAATACCGAGAAAATTTTCATTAATCAATGAAACCATGATCACTAAAGCAAGCTCTTCAAATCAACAAGACAAAATAGTCTGACAGTTGCACTGGAAATGTTGGAAATTTCCAACATGAGATGCAAAACTACTCATAAGTTAAGCCTAATATTTGTCATTAAGGATATCCAAATATGGGATGCCCGGATGGCTCAGTTGGTTGAGCATCTGCCTTCAGCTCAGGTCATGATCCCAGGGTCCTGGGATCGAACCCAGAGTCAAGCTCCCTGCTCAGTGGGGAGTCAGCTTCTCCCTCTGCCTCTGCCCCTCCCCCTGCTCCTGCTCTCTCTCTCTCAAATAAATAAAATATTTTTTTAAAAAAATGGATATGCAAATATATCTGGGCCTATTTGACATGCTTATTGTGTTTAATTTAACCTGCAGTTGATTTGGAAAAAATACACAAAGCTGAAAGTAATGGAATTTAATTTAGATATTGATCGGGCAACAGAGCCTTTAGTTTGAGTGCCAGAGGGGGTGTGAAGCATGACTTTCAGTAGCATGCTGTGACTTCCAGTTCTAAAGCCAGAAGTCAAACCATTAAGTCAATTCAGTCTACTACTCCATACCGTACTTCTCTCCTCTACGTTAGAAACACCCAAACCCTCAATCCATTCCAAAGTCCAGCTATGGTGCCCAGATCTGGAAATAGCCCATGTTTTTTCCACTCCCAAAGTTCCCTCTGCCTGAGTGGGACCAGACTCAGGTACAGATTACGATGCAGTGGAGTTCAGACTGGTCACAACCTCCTCTGTGACTTTTGACAAATTTCTCTCAACCCTCAAAATGAGCGAATACATTGATTAATAACCAAAATGTCTTTCAGCCCTAAATGTTAAGGACAGAATCCTTTATAACCCCTTCTGCATCACTCCAGTATCAACCCACTGAAATCATTCAACACTTGTGTGATAGAAACACTAGACCCGTAATTAGGAGGCAAGGGTATTACAACTACCAGGAGCCTCTGTACGTTAAATTCTACACCAGGAATTGCACCAGACAGCATGAATAACGGAGCAGTTGTTTTTTTGTTTGTTTGTTTTTGTTTTTAAAGATTTTATTTATTTTTATTTGAGAGAGAGAGAATGAGAGAGAGGGAGTACATGAGAGGGGGGAGGGTCAGAGGGAGAAGCAGACTCCCTGCCGAGCAGGGAGCCTGATGCGGGACTCAATCCAGGGACTGCAGGATCATGACCTGAGCTGAAGGCAGTTGCTTAACCAACTGAGCCACCCAGGCGCCCAGCAGTTGGTTTTTTTTTTTATTTGATGCAGTCACTGAGTTTATATCAAAGGGATGCTTAACCAAATTTGGCTTAAGTCAAAAATGAAGTGGGGCCAGCTCTCTGCATTTGCACACTTTTTTAATTTTTTTAAGATTTCTTTTTTTTATTTGACAGAGAGATAGTGAAAGCAGGAACACAAGCAGGGGGAGTGGGAGAGGGAGAAGCAGACTTCCCGCTGAGCAGGGAGCCTGATGAGAGGCTCGATCCCAGGACCCTGGGACCATGACCTGAGCCAAAGGCAGATG